GAACATCACGTTTCGCGGACAATTTAAACGACCAGAGTAGCCTATCTGAAAATTTATAAGCAGGAAATTATGTTACTGTTGAAAATTTTAAATTCGAAAAGATGGATCATTTTATAAATTAAAACTCAGTTTTCGCTGTGTGCACTTACATGACGTTGATAATAGCTTTTAGATTTGTTGTTGTTCTTGGAATTTTCTTGGAGATTCTACATAAAACTAAGAATACCTATTATCTGAAATCATACAATTGTCCGTGACGATTTGTTTATTAATTAGTTAAATATAAATTTGAATAAGTACTGTGAACACGTGTGTTAGTGCTACGAGGAGCGGCCAGGCTCTGTGGTACTTCTGTAGTGTGCCGCGGCCATCTCACCTCGAGCATTAATCAAGGGGCATCACGGGAGTTATATGAGGGTGCCACATTGACAAGGGTGAACAGTGAACACCGCGCGCTAATTGAACCGAAACTATTAATTGCGATGATGCCGGCTTTTTGTTTATCTTACTTGTTCGCCATAACCTCTTGTAGTGTCTTGTTGTCTTGTAGCCTTACTTACATTATGTTAACTATTTTTTTAGTAAGACATTAGTGGCTTCATGGATATGGATAGTAGACACCCGTGGCTACACCAGAAGAATTGCAAGTGCGTTACCGGCCTTTTGTGGATAAGGAGTTTTGGAAATGATTTAGGGATCAGAAGGGATGGAGGGAGATGAAGGATTGGGCCTGTGGTAAATTAAAAACCGGAAAACTTAAGTGTAAGTTGTGAAGCAATTTTAAAGTGACATATTTTCTAAATATTTATGGAAGACATGATACAATTCGTCTAAACAAACCATATCTGCCTCGTGTGAATTAAAGTATGTAGTAGTCGTATAATTAAATGGTAATCCAAGCACCGACGAGCAGGTCTCACAAAGATAAAAGTAATCCGATGAATCAAACATGTTTCTCTATTCTTCGGTCAAAATCCGGGACTGAACTAAAACTTGCAAATGCGATGGCGTGAGGAAATTCAGCTTAAAGAGCAATACTTGCATAAATAACGAGCGGGCGTCTCGGCAGTCGGCAGTCGGCAGTCGGCAGTCGGCATGCATGTGCTCGGCGAGGAGACCGCCGTGTGTGGCCACACTGCTACACACACACATACATCAAACAGAATTATTCATACTTGATTATCATGTAAATATATCATATACCATCGACAACAGACACTGAAGGCGTTTTCTGGAGATTTAAGTGGACTGGAATTGGTGTATGGATTATAAAAACATCAATAATCGTATGTGAACAAACAGTTCGCACTTATTGCCACACAAGAACTAAGGCTGTCGTTTTAATGAGCTCAGTAGGTGGTAATTATTCAGTTACTACCGAAACTACTGTTGAATAACTTATACGAGTTTGTCAATAGATTTAATAAGAAACGAGCGTTATAAACATTTTAAAGAATCTGCGTTCCGTAATGACATTATGTTTACCTCGGCTACTAGGAGCACAAAGGCCGCGAAGAGCCAAATAAAAATATAATCCCCAAGTTTACGTAAGGGATCCCCTCGTAGCCTTTATTCGCAATTTCCAAGGTTTATACGCTAGGAAGATGCTTGTAAAATCTGTATTTTTGTGCGATACGTTCGCAATCACCTCGGCAAACAGACCCGCTGTTTATATAGCGACGGACAAATTGGGCGGAGGACAGTTATAAGTTTGAAAAGTTCATTTTATGAAGTGATGAGTTCGTGGGCCGAGTGAGCCAACAATACGCAGCACGTAACTATTTGTATATTTTTCCAAGGAAAACGCTGGAAGTTTATGAGCGCGATGTTGTTTAGTCATTTAGTATGCGGCGTACAGTGCGGCTCTGAACGACCCGCCCGTAATTTGATTCACTTTAAAACAGTTTGAAACTCGTCAACTGGAGGTTATAAATTTAAAGAAGAAAGGGTTCGTTCCCGGAGTAATTTGTGAAAGAATGTTGCGGGTAAAGAACATTTGGAGATAAAAAGAGTATTTTGGCGTTTTATTCGACTCTGCGAATGAAATTCGGATTGTGTTTTATTTATCATCGTTTGGTGCGGGGATACGTTTATATTTGAAAATGTTGCTGGGAGTAAACATAATTAATGTTTAGCAGAAATAGTGAATACGGATAGAAGCTGGCTAAAATATTTCGCTTAGCCACCGAGTGAGTGGACATTTTTATAATTGGCATTTAATATAATCCCGCGACTGGCAGCCGCGGTGGTCGCTGCACTCGAAATATTATGCAGATTAACGAAAGTCCCCGATACGTTGCAATTAGGGTTTTGCCAATTTTTGCAGCTTTAAAAATTTAGTTTTAGATCGACACAAATTGCTGCTGCCATCAAACGGAATTTTATATGGCAGATTAGTTGTGATAGGCCGCCATATTGGATAGCGTGTAACGGTCCAATCCCAAATTACGAGATTCAAATTCCGAACGGCTGGAATTCAAACAATCACGTTCCGTTGTTATTTTGATGTAAATTATTTGTTGTATCAGATCGGGAGCGGATAGCGGACCAATTCTAAATCAAAGTGTAATTTAGCGTTTAGTTTTGCGGCCGACGAAAATTACAAACTAAAATATTGCAGTCACAGCTATATACAGCATACCGAGCTGCGATCAACGGGAACTGTTTGTACCTGGAGGCCGTTTATGTAAGCGGCTACTCCGGATGTCAATATTAATTCAGCAAGACTTTGCAAAGTCGTGTACTACCCTTCATAGCAAGTCTCCATCACGAAAGTCTAATCAAAACTTAAAGACAATATCAATTTAGTTGAGCAAACACCTTCAGTTTAGCCTTCAACTATGGCCGGCGGAACAAACAACTAGTGAATTAGCAAGTTGCCGAATTTACCTTAATTATGCATTACTGGGCCGGCGGATGCGGGGACGGTGCGGGGACGGCGCGGGGACGGTGCGGCTACCTGCGCAAACGTCACTTTACGCCTCATCAGTTGTTCACTCGCACGTGTGTGTGTGTGTGTGTTGATGTATACACAGATCATGCACAATGCGCTGGTCACGTGTGGCGTGCGCTACGCTCACTGCACGTAATAGAGTTAGTCGCATTTATGACGAGCTGATGATCTTACACGTCGCAACCTGTACCTACATCATACATAAACAAACTACGTAGTCTATTCCAATTACATTACAGCAACTATGATATTTGATTTTTAAAATATTTCAAAGATTTTTGCCCGCAAGTAATGAGAAAAACACCGCAAGATCTTAGTCGCCCAGCGAAGAATTTCCATTAGCATTTTCCCATTTTGTAAACTGGTAATTTACAAAGTGGCGTGTCCCCCCTCCGCCTCGCCCACTCTCTGCATAAACGCTACAACAGCGGGCTCCGAAAACTGCATACACTGCAAGTAGGCACAGTGCACCTCCAGCTATATGTATAGTCATTGTATGTGTATGTATATATATTTAATGTAATTAGTTAGTATTTGTTCGTTCACGCCGCTGCCGCTGCTGCTGCAGGCCGCCGTTAATTAGTTTCAAAACTCGTATATCAAGCGGAACAAAAAACTTGCACACGGATATCATTTACAATTATCTTCTGCTCTCGTGATTAGCTTTGTTTGTTATTGCTTGAAATAAATAGATTAATTGATGAATTTAGTGGGTTAGTAGGTACATAGATAACATTTAGTGACACTATGCATACATTCATGGAAAGATATTGTAATGATTAGAGGACATTAGTGGTCACGCAGGTGGATGATGGAGCAGCGCGCACTAATGAGTGCAGGCGGGAGGGAGGAGGGGGCGGCGGCCGCAGGAGCTCGCGCTTATTAACAATTAACTAGAGGTCCCTTCAGCCGAGCCTTCATTATCGCCACACAAGCCTCTCCTCATTTTAATGAACCTACAATTGCTTTACCGTCGCCTCTTATAAATGTATAATTTTGACCAAATACCGTAATGGGATTATGTGATAACTCCTAGAGTTAGCTTTGTGCTCCAACTGTAATTACGTCGAGGTTACCATGGTCACCTCCTTCATTAAAGCCCAGCTTAATGTTCTATTATCACTGCAAGCCCCGGGCCTCATACGTCACTTGTATTAATCTCGTTTAGTACCTATACACATCACTCAGCACTACTTACATTGCTAATTTTCATTCAGTCATTGTGTATTGAATGTAACACGTATGCGGCAATAGTTGAGCAATGGAGCGATATGTTCAATATTTGATCAGGCTGCATCGCAAGGAGGCAAGTTGGCTGGATGTGGCAGTAACTGGTAAATACCTAGGAGCTGTATAAATTTATTAGCGCGTGTGATTGGCCCGAACATGCAAGTCATTTTCTGTGTTGCCATACGACCGACTAAAGAAATACGTGAACAGAAATCGAATACGATTTCTTTGAGCGTTCCCTGAATATCTCCAAGATTATAGTCGTGTACTAAAGGGAAAATATGTGAATACTAAACGTTATCCTATTCAGTGAAGTGGGGAGTTTGTGTGAGACGTAAATGTGTCAATTTACATTTAAAGAAATGTGCTCTTTATACTCGCAAATGATAGAAATTTGAATTCATGTTCGACGGAATTTTAGTGCCAATTATCCTGCGAGGCTGCGAGGCTCGTGGAGTGCGCCTTAGACTAAGGTTTATTTGTAACAGAAGTCGGTGTTTGTATTAGTATAGAGAGTGTTGAATATTCGCGAGATCAGTCTGTGTGTCTGTGTGTCCGGCGTGTTTGCTATGTAAATACAGCGTCGGCGTTGTATTTACTTTGCGACGCGCAATTTGTTCGAGCGAAGGCTGCGGGCTCGGACGACTCCGTGCCGACATAACATACTGAGTAAAACTGTAAATCCGACAAATTATGAAAATAACAAGTAATCCACGTAGTCTTTATTACTCTTGGCTGGTAGATAATTATCACCAAAATTATTGACACATCAAAGGTGTTCATGTCGAGGTAAAAGTTATGAAGTTGATTAATAATAAGAAATTATATTTTTCACAAACAATATTTATTAAACACAAGACCTAGCTACCTAATACTTATTTCAGTGCGTACGTCCACAATCACAGATAAGTAAGCTCTACTTTAACGAGAACATTCTCCGTCCATCAACACATCACAGCCACTTAATAGCAGTCTCCGCTCTTAATGAGTTCTTCGATCAATTTGCTGCACTCATTCCTCTTCAGCTTGGCGGAGTGCGTGTGAGGGAGCGACGGCACGAACGCGAGCCCTCCGTGTAACCGCTTGTGCTCGCTCAAAGTGGCTGAAACGAAACAAAACAAATTATACCTTAACAAAAGGAAGCAGACTCTAGTCTTCAACGTGCTGATCTCACATGTAAACCTAGATAGCATACTGGCTAAAAGAGCAAAACTGAAACTAAATCTTAATGCGAACCGTGTAAGGTCTATTTTTAAAAATGGGCAAAAGTATCTCGAGTAAGGTGTTTCCGAGACATAAACTGCAATAGAAGAGGTTTGGCTTATGAAAAGCTGACGGCTGAACATGTTTAAGGACGTGTGAAGTGTTGCTGGAGTGAAGCGTTGCTCCCTCAATATTGTGTTCTACATCAAACTTTCAGGAATTTTACACGAAACTAAAAGTACCTGCAGCTGAACGTCTTTCCTAGTTATTTAAAAGTGCACCGTACTAAACTCTACTTTTTGACGTTTCTTATGGAAAATCTCTATTTAATGCTCGGAGTTTTGGTTGTGAAATAATGAAACCATGAATTTAATTTTGCACATAGGCCATAAAAAGCAACATTTTTCAGTTTTCAGTCACTTGACAGAGATGTGAATATTTATATTTATGTTTATCGATTTTCAATGTCGTTGTTTCAATAGTTTCTGCGACACAGTGCGACGGTTTTGTTATTTTGTATCGGCTAAAAAGTTGTAACGACAACTTGAGCACCCGGCTCAGTGTCCAGTGTCCGCTAGTGTTATTTGATCTCTCCATCGCTTTAGTTGGCAGCGCGCAATATCAGTTGCCACTTTATTCGTCAGTTTTCAATAACAGCGGGCTTTAGATATTGGCAAGACTGTTGCAGCTCGCGTCGCGTGCTCCAGCTGGGCAATAACATTATTTATGTGGCTCTGTGCTTGGAGTCTCCTGTCACCTTGATACTCTCGCACCTTACGAATAGTCACTGCTTCGTACAACCAGTTCCTCAGCAAAGTATTACATTGGGTTGACATTACTTACTCGCCCGCATCTTTGTGACAATATCTGTCAGTGGATCGTCTTATCGCCGTTGAAGGAGGCAATGGGGCAATGCGGGAGGTTCACAAAATCTTGTTTTTATAACTTTTATAACATCAAAAATGTTGTTTTTTTTACAACTTACAGTTGACCACAGCATGTATCTGTTCCCTGGTGACGTCAGCTCCCGGCAACAACACGACGGCTGCGACGGCTCCCTTCTCAGACGGACACACCACGCTCTCATGCACTCCTGGTATCGAGCAGATCACTCGCTCTACTTCCTCAGGTGAAACCTGTGCGCAAAAAGGAAACAACAATGAAAATAAAACGTTTGATCTAACATAACTTTACTTGTATTTTCATGACTTGTTGAAGTATTTCTGATCTACGAGAGACTACCTCATTCGTATTAGTTCACACCATTTAGTGGACAATTCACACTTAATTGACAAGTGGCCTTGATTAGAGCGGTGTTAACAATGTGGCTAGCGGTGTGAGGGTCGTCAGCTGATCAGGGCCGAGCGGGTGACGTAGTATCACGTCGTCAAGTATCTGGTGCAGTCAGGGCTGACTCAAATTAGGTCAGAAGCGGGGATGGCATTGTCTAGTCTCTAGAGCAGTAATGTTTTTTTCAAACAAAACTCAGAGGAAAGGTACTCACATGAGCACCCATGTGTTTGAAGGTGATCTTCTTCCTGACCACGTATGAGAGCCGCTCGTTCTCGTCCAGGTGGAACTCATCTCCGGTTTTGAACCATCCGTCAGGAGTGACCGCCTCCTCATACGCTGCCAAGTTCTTGTGGTAGCCCTACAGGGACAAAATATATAAGATTATTACTCTCTACCATTCTAGATAATTCATTTATTTGTTTTCCAGAATCATGTAGCCGTCTTTAACAGTTGATGAGTTACAGCTTTACCTTAAACACACTGCTCCCCTTCACCCAGAGCTCGCCATTCTCTCCGCGTCCCCGCTCCTGACCTTCATCGTCCACGATCTGGAAAGTTGCGCACATTTTTACAATCGCAAAAAATGTCGGATAATGTCTGAAGCAATTTACACTGAATGTTTTCTGGATAGCCTCACTTAACGAGCCGTAATGAGCTGATATAACTTTTTAGTCTAATTATCTACTGGTGTGCTAAAAAGTTCGTAATATCCCAATAATTAGGTTGAAATTGAAAAGAAAAACGCCATAACACCTAGTTCAGATAAAATCAGTTGTGAACCTTGACAAATTATGTGATAAAAATATAAGATAGGATAAGTGGATAGAGCAGATAGGCTTTTAGATGTCAATTTAGAAGATAACACTTTTGTGAACTCGAAATAAAATTACCTTTTCCTAGGAAACTTTATAAGTAAATGTAATTTAGCTCCTGTTTACGCCTTGATAAAGTACAAATTCAATTGACATAAATATCCTAAGTCGAGCAGAAAGTCTATCCATTAACGATATTAGGCTATCGAATTATCCGGCGCTTTCTTGGATAGTTCTTCTGTTGCGAGTACCTAACTAATCGTGTCTACCTTGTAAGACGTTTTATTTAGTACCTTGTAGTTCAAGAAGTTGAGCACCCATCCGTTGGACTTCATGGGCGCGTCTTTGTCGGGGATGGCAATGAGTCCGTGTGTCTCTGTGATGCCGTACCCGTCGCACAGACGCGCTGTCTCTGTCATTTTGGCCTGAAATATAATGAAACGTAAATACGATTAATAATCTTATGACGACATAAAAGTAATCTTGCCCACTCACTAAGCTAATATTCTTTATTTTTTTCTGCTGTTTAACTGCGTAGATTTATGTTTTATTTTGTAAATCTCAAGTAGAGCGCAGACAGATGTTGGTAACTAGTTAGGTATTAACGTCGGAGTATTCTAAGTGTAATGGCTGCGACTATTAAGAATGTCTGCGTTAGAAACTTTGCCAACAGAGCAAATTGGTAAGATATCTGAATGTGAATCTTGATTGTATATATTGGCAGTGCATTGATCTCAAATTGTTTTTATGGCAGTTTGACTAAATTTATTGAACCATTATATTGACAATAGTAATGGCGTACAATGAATGATTGAATTTGAAACAATGTAACTATGACGTGACAATATTTATAAACTGATTTTAGAAGTAGAGCAGTACAACTTATTTAGCTAGTACTAATTATTTTAATGATTGTAGCGACATATATCAGGTACATTGTACTCACTTTCAAGTTGCCCATCAGCGTGGGACTAGCCGGCGCACCCAGAAGGTACATTATTTCAAACGAGCTGAGCTGGTCGGGTCTGATGAGAGGTACCAGCGACACAGCAAACGCTGGCGCTAAATATCCCCAGGTCGGCTACAAACAAGTTATAAATATAATTATAGTATTACAAGTTTTGTACCTTGAAATATAATTTTAAATACATTTCATACAATTACGACAGTGTAATTGAATGTCATAGTGCAATGCAGCAACAATCCTTTCTTGTATCCAACCGTGTCAGAGTGTTGATTTGGGAATCTTCACAGAATGTTTGAAACGTAAATATTTACAACACTAATCACACAGGTCTGCTGCTCCCTTTGGAGAGTATATAGTGTACCTTATGTTCATTTAATGACATTGTAAATTCTAGCAAGTTAAGACAGTTTGTATTTTTGGCACATTGCAGAGTATAACTCAACGAGCCAACCATAAAACAGATCTGGCAGCCGCTCCTGAACCACAGCCCAGATGTAGATAACTGTCTTTTAAAAACGTTCTTCAAGAAATTCGTGGATCCACTATATTATATTTAGCTCATTATAGCTAGTAGATAAGAAATGCGAGGGAACTTCTGAGACTCGCCTCAACTTGTATATTCAACTGTACTGCAAAGCAATAAAGTTGAGAATGCAATACAAACAAATATTTGACAGATTCAGTCCAAAAATGTCGAGTAAGTACCGCATTGTGGTTACTGACCTACGTAAACTGATCTGATATTTACGGATACAAGAGATAATGATAAAACGATAACAGAACTGCTATCACAATACTTGGTGAGTAGTTGTTAGGTGCGAGCTATTAGATACGTACATTTTTAAAGCATTATCACACACATTTAAGCCGATAGGCCGTCGGCTGATACAGCAGCGTACGGAATATTTTATCTAACAAGCGGAGTCACACCACACTACTCGTTTGATAATACGCATCTTATTATTATTTGCGTCTGATAGCGAGCGTGCTCTAGTACGCAACGAAATTGACATTGTATATTAAAAGATAACGTCCTTAATATTAAATTAAAACTAAAACTGCGAAAGCGGCGTTAGTAATACTCCCAGCACTCTCAACATTGTTATTGTCAGTGACAAGCTGAGCACACTAACTTTTAAAAGCTTTTCAATCTACATAAAATTAATTTAGTCTTCATATTAATACGTTCCCAGTTTAGAAAATATCTCGTCGCCATGCAACGAATGCCGACTTTTGATATTGTTGCTAAAAGGGTAATTAGCGCAGGCCGAAGTGCTCCGGCCGAGTAATTACCGACTTTACATAAAACCTTAATCTTGCTTAATGTAAGGACTCGTCACCATTTAATATAATTCCACTTTTAAACTTTACTAAATTGTATTGTTAATTGCTACAAAGCTCTTCTCAAGCATGGATAGTAATCACAGTAAGTGTTTTATAAAGCTATTAATTAGCAGCAAGATGTTAAAATTTACTCTTTTTGAGAACCCTTGTGATGTGATCTTAGTCTAAAGAGGTGCAGCCGAGCAAACCCACAAGCAGCTACATTAAGAACTCGCATAATATATTATGTTCCGAGTTGCTAGGAGTTCCAAGTACAAATGGCTCACTGATATATGAAATAGTTACCCGGTACTTCTCCATGATCTCTATGACATGATCAGCAGTAATTGCTTTGGGCGTCATCACGATGGGGACGTGGTACGCGACGCTGGTGGTGGTGAACATGGTGAACGTCACCCACTGGATGGTGGTCAGGATCATCATTCTCCTCGTCGGGGTCGGGAACCGGGAGTGATACGTCCTGCAGACAATAAGAAGTTACATTATGTTATTGAAAAGTTACATTTATATGCTATTCCATTTATTCTCATAATTATTATCTACCTCTTCAAAAACTTCCTCTCAGGTAATGTAAGGAACCGAAAATAGTTTATAAAATTCTTACCAAATTGTAGGCAGAACGGTTGTCAGTCCTCGATTCGTTAAGATCACAGCTTTGGGTAGTCCAGTGGAGCCACTGGTGGGCAGCAGAATGACGGTGTCATCCATAGCACGCTCTGCGACCCTGATGAATGTAATATTGGTTTGTATGTCTGTAATTACTAAACCGAGTGAACTTGCATGGAATAAGCTAGTTTTGTGAACAATATTAAATAAAAAATATTAACCGATAGCTTGCGATATCATCGGATTGTCCTTTAGTGAAGTTGTCGAGGACTCCGGGCTGGTCCGCAGCCACCAGCACGGGCTGCAGCTCGGGGCAGGCGCGCGTCGCCTCTTGCATCGCCTGCTCGAACTCTCCGTCGTAGAACACAATGCTGGGCTCCACCAGCTTCAGGAAATGGGTCAGTTCATCTGCAAAAGTTCTAGCATATATAGCCAAAGTCAAGTCTCCTCCTCTTCATGCTATCTCAAATTATTACTGAGTTCAACACGATAAAGAATTCAATTACTCACAGACAGTGGCGTTAGGCTCCATCATGAACGGGATCACTCCAGCAAATATGAGGGCGAAGTAAACGGCCAACGTCTCCTGGTGGTTCCTCATCTCCACTATAGCGTACTTCCCTTTCAAACCCATGCCAGTTAGCGTGCGTGCGATAGAGATGGCACGCTTCAAATGTTGCTCATTTGTTATGTCTTTTCCAGTTCCAGCGTTACTCTAAACAACAAAAGGTATAACAATGATATCATTGTACTTCTGGACTCACCACATAACCACAGAGATCTGTAGCTATACGATCACTCCAGCTAAGCATTCGGATCTGAGGAAATCGTTTTTTTAAGCAGACATTTTGGTTAATGGTGAGTGGCTTTGGCCAACTGATATTCAAAGATTATACAGAGCCAATTTTTTTCTTATTAAAGGCATAAGCCGGTCGCTTCATACGTAAACAATCAATAAACCAATTACAACTTTAGAATATCTTCAGTCGTCAATTTCTTGGGAATTACGAACTGAGAAAAACCATTCCGCAGGTAATATAAGTTTGTTATACTTTACGAGAAGGACCGACAGAGGAGTTTTTGCAAAAGGAGGAAATGTAATTGACACAGCCTCGGCTGCAGTATTGGAGCTGCCGGTCCATTTATACGAGACAGGAGTAGCGGGTGGCAGCGTATCGCGCGGTGTCCTCTTTTTATGAAAGCGTCAGTTATTTCCATTGAGCGCAGCAAACAGATGAAATTGCTCAATAACCGTGGCTACCAGGCAATTTGTAACGCTATCGCAGTGGGCCTGTGACGTCACACCCCTACGACATAGGCTGAATAGATTGGATTTTTTAGATAATCGGTTTGGTTGTTAAAGCGCTCATCCAAATTTAAAAAAAAAGAATATTCTTTGTGTGACTGAAACTGACTGATGAATTTTTATGGAATATTTTTTAGGTTCAAAAATGGCATTGTAAATAAAATATAATTATTTTCCGAGTGCTGAACAAGCGGTAGCTGCATGGCTGACTTTGTTTATCATAAAAGTCACACGAATTTCGGCATCAATTTTATTAAATTTAAATATTTGCAAACCTATGTCATAGAAACAATACAGTCATATAAATATCGCTACATAACGTCTAGGTGATGAATATGGAGTAAAAGGTCGGTTCGACTGGAGTTATACCCTACCACGGTCTCACGGAAGCCCGCGTGAAATAACCAGAACCATTATGTTTTGCCGTGTGAGTGAGGTTACCAGGGATCCAATAATCTTTATTCCCCACTCGCATCCCCAAGAGCCCCGTAAGGCGCTTGCAACTCTTTTGGTGTTGGAAATGTCCATGGGTAGGGCCGATTGCTTACCACCAGGTAATCTTTATACGTCGAATTTTCGCAGGACTTTTAAATTCTTACCAAGAACACCTCATTTGGCCTCTGCTTGAAACAGTGCAACATGATCTGTGCGAGCGGGACATTGCTTCTCGCCTCGGCACTAGGTTTGATTCCCTGCTCGAGCAAAATGGCGTCCAGCACCGAGTCGAGGTGGAGCTGAGCAGCATTTGGTTTTCCTCTTACTACTGTATGAGACATCTGTAAAAACAATAGGAAAAATATGTCACTTTTTAGTGGAAGGTGATATTAACACAGCAGATAAAACACAAAATAATGTAACTAAGCGAGATTCAACAGCCAATAGGTACAAATGTATAGAAAAATAATTAGTACAGCAATCATTTTTGTTCGTGAAGTTTTCTTTTGTTTGTGAACAACATAATAAAATGTCTCCACATTCCAAAAGTGAAAGCGTTACAGAGGCCAGGAGTTGATCCTATTATTGCGTACTGATTTAGGAAAACATAGCAATCACTGCATGACATTTGTCGCGGAGAAAACGTATCCAAAATATTTTTAGGTTATAATGATAATAAGCATGTTCGTGAGGAAATGTAATAAACAGTTATTAAAATTAATTTTAGATGTACAATTCAATTACGTTGTCGAAGTTAGATGCATTTTTTTACTTTATTTAGTGTAGTTGCTTGTTTTGAAACATTTTTTTATTTACTACTAGCTACTTTCGCGCAGTTTCATCCGTGGCTCAGCTCCATTTGATCGTAGCGTGATGTTTTATAGCCTATAGCACTCAGGAACATTGTAGCTTTCTATCAGTGCAAGAATTTTGGCAATCCGACCAGCGGTGCCAGGGATTACCCCCTACATACAAACTTATAAACTTACAAATTTTACCTCTTTATAATATTAGTATAGAAAACAAGTGTTGATACTACGTATTCAACTGAGTGTATAGCGTCCATATACTCAGTTTCGAGTAGTTTTAAAGACCTCGTTATTTTATCTCAATAATTCAAGGAAGTAGTTTACAAGTGGCATGGTCGCAAATTATCTTGATAGTATCATAAGATATGTATTGCTGGAGGCCCGGCTGTAGCTAACACGTTTACTGAGACATTCCCAACATATTCGCGCACGTAATATTCATCCAGGGAACAAATATTACGCCCCGGAGCACTACATTTTTTGATAAGACAAAAATTCTCCCGCGGGAACTATTTTATTTGTTAGGGCCTAGGAACTCACACGTTTTACGACATTGTCGCGTGTTTGCGTGAATGTTGTTTAAACAATTTGTTACACACATTGTGACACGAAGTTTTATGTTCATAGTTAAGGTACTTACTGTATTTTAAAATATACCTTATAAATGTATACATACACCATGATATGTGCAACAAATATATACATATATAAACTACAGTTTAATGAAAACGAGAAAAAAACATAGTTAATAACAAAACATTATAAGTAAACTTATTTAATAAAACACACCAAATAATAATCGAGACAAGCAACAATAATACATGACACGAGTGAGATAACACGTGTGTGTACGTACCTCGCAGCTTGCAGTGACTGACGACAGCTCCGAAGACACAGACGCGAAGCACTGACAGACCGCTGGTGTACTTTAGAAGATGTCTACAATCAACATTATTTATAGAAATGATAGCGTTTGATAAGGAACCAAAATAGATCGATATCAAATGATAAAAATACTATTTATAAATGTATTTTAGGTGTAGCGTACAAATTTCCATCGCGTCATGTTTGTTATTGTTGGGGCAGCGTACACGATCACGTAGTCCACTCTCGGTGCAGCACCACGCCTCTCCGCGGCCGCGCGCTGCCCGGCAACAGGCTCGCGCCATGTGCGCCCGCGTGGAACATCGGCACCATGCAATATGTATGTCACCTCACTGGGACAATACTTTCTCTTTCTCTATAGGGCCAGTGTATTGTACTTCGTACTCTGTATAATAGATGGCATTTTTTTATGATTTTTAAAAGGAGATTTTATTTTTGAAGTCGATAAAGAGGTTCCTTGTCTTTTTTAATTGCACAAGGTGTCCTGCTAAATTTGCTTGCTTTCTGCACTGTAGTAATTTTATAATAAGCTAGCGACCCACCGCGGATTCGCACGGGTCAATGTTAATACTATGTTACTCCACAATTTAATGTAATTAACATTTCCTCTTTAATCACGTTGTGTAAGTTTTAAATATTAACGCATACATAGGGATATAGAATTAGAAAAAGTGACATTGTTTTATACTATGTAGTGATAAACCTGTCATCGCTATTGAGAGTAAAAACTGTTTAGCGGGCCACATTGCTCGAAGGACTGACGGCCAACGACGGATCCGAAGACGTAGCGAGGCAGGCCTCCCGCCAGGTGGACCGACGTCATGGGGAGCCAATGGATGCAGCAAGTTGTTACCCGACGAAGAGGACTAAGGGGGAAGGCCTTTGTTAAACAGTGGATGGCATAGAAAGGTTTATCAGCCTAAGCCTTTTCCTGTAACCCATACACATAATATAATATTCTATCCATGGGGTTCATAATTGTATGAAGTGATAATAAAAAATATTGCATCATTTGCGAAAACAGGCATGTGATGTTGTGTGCGCGTGTGCGTGTGTGTGTGTGTGTACGTCAGGTGGTGTGATAGGAATCTCCCTAGTCATCGAACCATGCGGTTGTCAACGTCGCGTAACGGAAAATAAATTTATTTAGCAGAACCGGTTACAGCCGGTTATTGTTTTGAGTAAAATGTGTAATCATGCGATTACATCAACAGGCCGGTGACAACAATATATGATCGCTACATTATGTTAGCTCTAGATAAAATCTATGCTGCTTGATATTTCAATTTTACAAAAAATTAGTACAAGATGGATGTTTTGGACCTCCGATAATCGTTTTCACAATGCGAAATGATACACAAGCGAGGTTTCTCGGTGATTTTCCTTAAAACTCGTTTTCGGAGGATGGGAAAATAATTAAGATTTCTCCTCTGGGTGAGACGAGAGACGAGAAAACCGGCTGCTTGCTTCTACTGCTCCAAGCTGTCCCTAATCTATCTCAATCTATACTACAAAGATAAATATGTATATTATAAAGAGGTAAAATTTGTAAGTTTATAAGTTTGTATGTAGGGGGTAATAACTGGAACAGCTGGTCGGATTTTCAAAATTCATTCACTGGTAGGTAGCTGCAATGTTCCTGCGTGCTATAGACTATAAAACATCACGCTACGATTAAATCAAAGCTGAGCAGCGGGTGAAACCGCGCGAGAGTAGCTAGTTATTATATAAGCTCGTAGGCAAGGGAATTAATGATCCCGCAGGTTCTGGTTTGCCTTCATTTGGTATCAGAAGTGAACTAGAAACAGTTCTCCCACCTCTTACCTCCATTGGCCTTCCGGAGTGTTCCACACTCTGTTTACAGCATCTACATCGCTTCAGCTGGTGCCATAATTCTTTTATAGTCCACTTTTATTTTTTTTAATAAAAAACGTTGCCCCGCTCTAGGATTTTCTCCTGTGTCCTGGGTGCGTTTACAAACAAACATACAATTTCACATACACATGACACCTAGACGCACGACAGCTAGTTGCCCAGACACAGCGCAACCGTGCAGTCAATATTATATGTATAATGACCTAGAATGACATTTTATTGCGAGTATAATTATTTTTATTGTATTAAAGTAAATAGTTACTAATTATATTCTTAATTTTTCAAAACCAGTAACCTTGTAAGATACTTATCAAGTCAGCTAGTTACAAAGTACCTCCATAATAAAAACCATAAACAAACCGACTATAACATTTTAGTTTACCTGTCATGTAACTATAAAGTATTTATCGAATTAGTGTGACTATCCCCGCTCCTCCCACATAGGTAGCTGATTTAAACATTGTGAAACAATAAGTAACGATAGTGTAAACAAAGATCACAATTTGTGATAAGGAAATTATCCGGTTATATCCGGTTACAAGCAGCCACTACGCGTAGCAACCACCTGGCAGTAAGATAACATTGTCGTATGCTAATCTGTCGCCAGTTCACCACCTGACGTAAACAAGATATACATAATAATATATTTCATTTTGGAAATTGCCACCAATAGTCACGTACGTACTTTGGTATATATGTATATGTATGTACCGGTGTAATTGAAATTGTTGCAACAGGTAAATTTATTTATTGCATTTCTTTACTTATCAAATTTAACTGTTGGGTTTTCTTTTTGTATGGTATAGGTGGACACTCAAGCAGACAGATTACCTGATGGTAAGCAATCGGCGCCACCCACACCCGCAACACCAAAGGAGTCTGTTGCGAGTGCGTTGCCGGCCTTTTGGTGATAAGGGTTCTCAGGTAACCTCACTCACACGGGGAAACAACGCTGTGGTTGTTTAACGCTGTTTTTTTTTGTGAAGCCGTAATATCACTCCAGTCGGTGAATTAACAAGATACCTTATTTTATGTCTTTTTTTTAAATGATATTAGCTTAATTGCAAGGAATTACAAGTTGATACATTGCCGACTTTTTGAAGGCAAGATTGAGGGTGGACAAACATTGAGCCTCCGGTAATGTCACTCACACAGCGAAAATAATGCTTTGGTGTTTTCACGCCGGTTTTCTCCGAGACTGTGGTGTCACTCCGGTCGAGGCGACCCATTCGTGCCGAAACATGAGTTTCCCACACTTCGAGCTTAATATCCTATATTTGCAATCATTATTGTTTTAATCAACAACTGACTTGTGATCATTGTTTAACTATTGTGTCTTCTTCTCCTAATCCTATGTAGGGATTGACTGAGACAAATTTTTTATTAGTTTATTTCATAGACATAGATTTTTTTTAACGTATTTATTGACAGAAATTTATAGTGTGTGCTTCCTAAAAGCAATCCAAAGACGCTTGTGTCTGGATAGACCTCGCTCTTCTTCGTTATACAAAACTAGCTACTCTCGCGCGGTTTCACCCGCAGCTCGGCTCCATTTAATCTTAGCGTGATGTTTTATAGCCTTAACACTCAGGAACATTGTAGATATCTATCAGTGAAAGAATTTTGGCAATCCGACCAGCGGTAACAAAGATTACACCCTACGTTCAAACTTACAAACTTACAAACTTTACCTCTTTATAATATTAGTATAGATGTATGATTGTATTAAAAAAAATCCACATTTATGGTGGACCTAAGAACCAGGACTTATGCATGCAAGAATTAAATTTTTCTTTCTCGCGGTTGAGGTCTTCCCACCTAGAAAAATTGCTTTATGATCCAAAAGTCAATTGTGCAGCGATGCTGTGTGATGCAATTGGATAAGAAAGTTGTGTAATTGGATCTGTTCTATGAAGTAAGGCCTGACTCAGTCTAGTTTAGTCACTAGACCAAATTAAGTTATACTAACTTTTAAACTTTCGCGTTCCATATTAACAACATACCTATATTTATGTACGCGAGTATTAACGCGGACAGTTATTATTGTAATACCTTGGTAGGCTTGGAATCCAGTGATTCGCAAAACACAACCTCGTTAATTTAAAAATAAGGTATATTTTATAATTGTCTTGGTTTCACTAGATTCTTGTATGACTCTGTGAACTCATGTAGGAGTGGCGAGTAATACTTATCGATTAGTGACATTACGTTAATTTTTATGTTTCTAATTAATTTGACATTATATTTTATAATAAAACAAACATACGACATAAAAAATATACGTGTTTCAAAGTAAGGCTCGTGTTACATAGCTAAATTCTCAAACAGTTGTACAAAGGCATATATTTTTTGTTACAACAACCCATTACAACACTTTTTGCTCGTCGCGGGGATCAAACCTGAGACTTGCTACTTTGGGAGATAAAAAGCCTGATGTTATCATACGTAAGGGAAATAAAAGAACATTGGTATTGTATGTGTTTGATATAGAATTGCTGGTTGTAACAAAGTAGGCACTTTTTTGACTCTTACTTGCTAAAAAGCGCCTCATTATTTTTCCTGCTCTGGGCCTGAAGCCGCGATAGTTATTGCCCGGGCATTCCCCACCCTGCTGCTGGACATTGGACGACCCTACTTGGCTTCGCTCTCTTCTTTCTATTATGTATTTGACGTAGTTAGTAATTGTTGCACAATATTATAGTTTTTATAATTGACGGTATCTTAATCTTTCGTCGGTGCTAACTGTTGCTCTCGAACATATTTATTTTATGACGTAGCAAAGTGCTTTGTGTTTGTTAAATTTAAATTAATTATTTTACTTTGAGTAGGACAGTGAGGATTTAGATTAAAATATAATAGTCTAAACAGGGATTGCTTAAACAAAAAAAAAAAACATTTATTATAATGATAATGATTGAAATAAACAGTAGACAACAGTTTAAATACGATATTTTATTATTAAAATTACAGCTAGCAACATTGGCCGGTTTTCAGGAGTTGTGTCATCAATTGGCTGCACTCGCTCCTCTTCAGCTTGCCTGTGGTTGTGTGAGGGAGGGAGGGCACGAACGCGAGCCCTCCGTGTAACCGCTTGTGTTCGCTCAAAGTGGCTGCAATATTATCATGGGAATTGTAAGTTATATGGTACAAACAATGATCAACAACTGAGAGCCACGCCACAGTTTAAACAAAGTGGTAATATGGTTTCACAGCAATCCGGAGGGAAACAATTCTTGCGTTGTGTTTCTCCTTGTGGATTTGGCAGCCAAAGAAAAATCTGGGAAGATTTTCAACCTCAAACCTCACAACTTAAGATCACAAAACACAATCTATCTTGTATACCATCAGATCCGGCTACTCACATACGATGAAATGAATAATTAGAGGAACTCAATCATTATAAATATGTTATTTAATCGCCTATTTAAGAAAATAGTAGGCAGATAGAAACTAGAAACCCGCGAACTAATTATTTAAAGTACTGCATTGTCAAGCAATAACAAAATGCTTATAGCAAAGTTGCATTTTAGTCACATGCTCTCCTCCTCTCCTGCGTGCCTGGTACAACATTTACGCGCTGATTTTGTATATCTTACAGTTCACGGCTGTGTGTATGGTGTCCCTGGTGACGTCAGCCCCCGGCCGCAGCACCACGGCCGCCGCGGGCCCACTGTCGGAGCTACACACCACGCTCTCCTGCACTCCTGGTACTGAACAAATCACGCGCTCTATTTCTTCAGGGGCCACCTGCAATCATATCAGTAACCTTGGTGAATATTTATAACGGTTTGTAAACATCACACTAAATACACCATCGTTGAAAATTATAGAGTAACTGTGGAAAGAAATGGACCAACTCTAATTATTCCATATACATAATATTTGTGTCTGTAAAGTATTAAGTCCCAGGCCATACAAATCTTTTCAATGAAAGCTTTCAAAGATGATTTTCAATAAATGTATTTGGTAAAGTGACAAAAAGTTTAATGTGAAACACATTAACGCTCGCTACATAATGAAATTATCTAGGATGACGACGAGTTCATACGAAGTTTCAAAATTAAATATTTGAAATTAGTCGAGGACAATACGAGGTGGCCGCCGCACGGCACAACCACAACAATCCAGCTGGAGGCTAGTTACGACTTTAATCTATATTTGAAGCGCTCATTTTGTGTTCAGAGTTCTTTTGAAATTAACAAAATATGGTAATAAACCGTCACCAAGTAACGAGGGTCGTCCTACTTAACATAATATAATTATTCGAGCAAGCGCGCCGCCATACGTCCGCCCTATAGATCTCCACGCCCTATATTTGCACCTTGCTGAAAGGGAATACTAAAATATCTAGGTAGGGTCAGGGCAGGGCTGGCACCGCTGACGTGTCGGCTGTAAGGCACAAAGGGAGCCACCGCCACGTCTGACATTTCCTTTATACGATAGAAATAGAACTCTCTTAAGACAGCTCAGTCCCTTTGAGACCTCACCGGTCGAGATGTTCCTCAGACGTGATTTCTTATTAATAAATACTCGGCACGTCTTCTGTTTCAACGCATTGTTTGTTACTAACTATAATGATGCAGTTCTAATGGCCAGCTACTTCCTAGTAAGTACTCACTTGGCAGCCCTTGTACTTGAAGTTGAACTTCTTCCTGACGACGAATGAGAGCCGCTCGTTCTCGTCGACATAGAACACGTCTCCCGTCTTGTACCAGCCTTCTGCGGTCACTGTCTCCTTGTAGGCAGCCACGTTCTTGTGGTAACCCTGTACATAAAGGTGATAATACTTATATTACAATTAGCTTGGTGTGTTGATAAAAAGTTGCCTCTGTCCTATTCCGAAGTGTATCCTATGCCTGTACCAAATTTCATTCAGATCAGACTAGCCGTTTTGTCGTGATTGAGTAACAAACATCCAACCATCGTAACTTTCGCATTTATAATATTAGTTTTTTTTTTTTTAGGGGCAAATCATCAAATGACTTCTCCCGCCCAGGGCCGGGCAGGAGGGAGTGTCAGACTCTTACTGACTAAAAACCCCCCTGTTCCTTCTCCTGCTCTGTGCCGAGGTCGCGGTACCTCATTGCGCTTACCCCGCAACCCCGGCTGAACATCAGCCCTTTAGGGCCCCGTCTGTGGTGGTCGAATGGCTCTTTGAGGCGCGCGCGGAACGCTACGCGCCGTACGCTCGGGCCTGGTTCTGGTCGGGCGGCGAGCTGCCCTTACTCGCCGACCGCAGGCCCGTGCTTACGGTGGCCGGAGATCGTCCCTCGATCCTCGACGCCCGTATTGTCGCCAGTTGCGGATGCTGGGGCGTGAGGAGGAGGATTGCTCCCTCACGCGGGCCGCCTCTCTCTTTGCGAGCATGACTGCTTCACAAAAGGAGGAGACGGCGTCCCAGTTCCTCTCACTCCGCACCATGGCCTCGACTAAGGCCGGGCGCGAGAGGTCGCCGCCGCCGATCACTTCCCTGAGGATACGGTGGTGCTCAGCCCAGGCAGGGCATACCGCTACCGTATGCTCCACCGTATCCTCTAGGTGGTCCTCACAATGACGACACTCGGGCGTTTCCTCTCGCTGAATCCGAAACAGGAACCCACCGAAGCTGCCGTGCCCGGTAAGCACCTGCGTCAGACGGAAGGTGAGGACGCCGATTTATATTAGTAAGATAGTAAAAATAGAAAAAAAAAGAAAAAAATAATAATAATAAAGTAATCAACCTTACTCTTTAGCTATTCAGCAGTAAAACTAGGTTGGGAAATTATTATTTGCTAAGCCTTTTCTTGAGGTAGGAAATCATAAATGACTTCTCCGACCCTGAATGAAGCAAGAAAGGGTCTCAGTCTTTTACTGACCATCCCGTTTCTTCTCCTGCTCTAAGTCGGGGCCGTGGTACATAATTGCCTTTGCGTCCGAAACCCCGGCTGAACATCGGCCCTATTGAGCCCCATCTGTGGTGGGCTAATGGTAATAACCTTGGTTAGCAGATTTCGTCGTAATACGAATACTTTGTAATATAATTGAGATTATTAAATGGTTTATTGTAGAAAACCATATTAAACCATGACAATGCCATAACATTCAACAACATATAATTCTATGATTGCCGGTGACGTGTGTACCTTTATAACGCTGACTCCCTTCACCCACAGCTCTCCGTACTCTTTTTGCCCCAGCTCCTGTCCTTCATCATCCACGATCTGGAAAGTTCCACATAAAATATAAGAGGATTCTGATGATTTTATTTGCAAACAAAGCGTTTTTGACCTTTTCTACTTCCATAATATCTAAAATTAATTCTCACGACTTCAGCCAGAATGCATATGTGTTACGTTCTTAATGTTAAATATATGTATTATTTTCTTATAATCACATTTTACTAATTGTCTCTTTTATCATTAAAACTGTAATATTTTACAAGTAACTGCTGCTAATCGTTTATTGTATCAATAAGTGGGATTATTTTGAAATAAAAATGCAATAAAGACTTTCTGCATTAAAGTGGCTCTACTTTATGATATATTATTATTTAATGATAGCCAATGGAATCACTTGGCTAATGAATGCCTTTTTTTGCGATGTAATTTTCATTCACATAATGTAGTATTAAGTTATTTTGAAGAAATAAATTGAAAGACAAAATTAGAGCGCCATAAATTAATTTTACTGAACACGATATGACGTATCTAGGTATCATAATTTTATTCTAACTAATTTTCTTTTTCCATTTACTGCCTTAAAAGTATCAAGTAATAACAAAATAAGCTATTCCATTAGGAATGTATATAATTTCAGATAACCTTTAAATACGCTATTCGTATTAGAAAAAAATGTCTTTAGTTGAAAATAGACAGCTTTAGCATATTATCATCACCAGCCTATAAGTGTCCACTGCTGAGCAAAGGTCTTCTCTCACGGAGAAGGTTTGAGCATTAATCACCACGTCTGCTCAAGGCGCATTGGCGATATCAGACTTATTTATAATCAAAAGTTGAGGCTATGTCTTTTCGATTTTTCCAACCTCGTTTGTCAGTAGTATCTTAATAATAGCGTATTTCCACCGACCTTGTAGTGTAGGAAGTTGAAGACCCACCCGTTGCACTTGAGGGGAGCCTCCCTGTCAGGGATTGCGATGAAGCCTTGTGTCTCTGTGGTTCCGTAGCCGTCACACAAGTGGGCTGTCTTTGGCAGCTTTTCCTGAAACAAATATAAATAAAAATTATTTCTCATAATTTCTCATATATGACACTGACATCGATTTGCAACATTGTATTCTATGACAAAGCCAATAGAATCAAAGTTCAATTGTACGTACTTGTAACTCTGCCATCTGCTGCTCACTAACAGGAGATCCAAGTAGGATCACCGTCTCCAACGAACTCAACTGTTCAGAGGTCACCAACGGCAGCAGCGAAGCAGCAAACGCCGGCGAGAAGAATGTAAACGTTGGCTGAAATATAGAAAGAAAAAAATCGATCACTACTTACACACATGCACTGTTAAAGAGTATTTAATATAAGCAAGCACTGCATGTACAGATGGCTAAATTGCAGATTGATGAACAATCTAGGGTCGGCCATGCTGTAATGCAGTGGCAAGACTCCTCTAGCCACTTCGGTTAGAGAGACGCCACGGTCTCCTCGCCTTCTGATATCCAGCTGGGGTTGGTTGGCTGACTTGTAGCAGGACCAGGAACAGGGCGCTTCTAGTTAGTTTTCCATAGCCAAATACACTTAAATAATGGCCAATAATATAACACCACATTCAATTACATTTATTATATTTGTATGTTAAACAAAGTGCTCCTAAGAGTACGAGTAGGTCCTCGACAATTTTCCGGTTAGTTGAGTGTATACTGTTATTGTAGCCAGCGTCTGATGGACGAAAACATTGCATGTTTGGACACAATTACCTTCAAGGCCGTTGGTATCTATTCTTGCACTGTCTAATGCTAATTCTATTAATTTGATAATATCCCTAGTGACACGTTGTTCATGGTCATCAGTATGTTTGCCATTACAATCATTATAACCTACAAAATTAACTGTAGTTTTAGACAATTATGATTGTTGTGATTCTAAAGTACATACCAGTATCTCACACCATGCCTCGTAATCATTAAAGGGCTATCTAATTGTTTAAAACCAAGATCAACCAACCCAACAATAATTCTTTAGTTCTTTTGACGTGTTAAACACTTGCACAAAATATTTTTGACAAGGACGAAACGCGTTTGTCAAATAAAAATAATAGCAGCTTCACGTCACTTATGTGAAAAGTGAGTGTCACACGGAACGTAATTATAATATCGGAAGTGATTTCTATGTTGATTTATGGTATCAACATTTGGTATTTAAAAATGTACAATATTAGAAGTGGTCTCACCCGATATTTGTCTATCATCTCTGCGACGTGTTCTGGAGTAATCTTTCTAGAGGACATGAGGATCGGAATGTGGTAGACTGTAGATGCGGTCGTGAACATGGTGAACGTCATCCATTGAATACGACCGGTGGGGGTCGGGAACTGCGTGTGATATGACCTGCAATAATTTAATATCAGGAATTGGTTGTAGTTAAAATGATGAAAATAATGATGCCTAGCGTTGTAGAAGTATTTAAATTTGTAAGCAACACATCAATGTTGGTGCTAATTATATCAAACTTATACCATGGGGAAGGAAGCTGCGCCACCAGTCCTCGATTTGTCATGATTGTGGCTTTAGGTAAACCAGTCGATCCACTAGTTGGTAGCAACATCACCGGGTCGTCCATTGATGATTCTGTAACTCTGAAAACGTTCGAAAGACCACTTTTAGAACGAGGTGTCCTCGGCTTTCAGAAGACTAAAATAATAAAGAAACAATTTCGTGAATTGTTATAGCTTTTCAAATGCTTACTGAAAACTTGCTATATCATCAGGTTGGCCTCGAATGAAGTTGTCAATAACTCCAGGACGGTCTGCGGCTATCAAAGTAGTCAACAACTTGGGGCAGGCGCGCGTCGCCTCTTGCATCGCCTGTTCAAACTCCTCGTCGTAGAATACAATGCTAGGCTCCACCAGCTTCAGGAAGTGGGTCAGCTCGACTGTCAAGGTATGCACAGTGTTTGTGAACTATATTGGCGTCACAATGTCGGCCAAAAATGTTAAGCAAATTCAAAATTAGTATCAGCACGTTTCCTGTTCTTTCATCTTCATAAGCATCTACGCTTTAGTACGAAATGAATGTATTGAAGGACTGGCTGACATATTCTTATAATTATTAGATATTAACTTTGAAATACAGTCAGATAAAATTATTTATACTTACAAACAGTAGAGGCAGGCTCCACTAGGAACGGGATGACTCCAGCAAAAATCGCGGCGAAGTAGATCACAGCCATCTCCTGGTGATTCCTCATCATCATGAAAGCGTACTTCCCTTTCCCACCCATTGCGGTCAGCGTGCGTGCGAGTGAGACAGCGCGCTTTAGGAGCTGCTCGTTTGTAATAACTTCATTAGTACCAGCATTGATCTGCAATGTTACATGGTACGGTAAGACTCGGCTGGCCTTCATTAACACATGAGAAATTTAATAATACTGTTTAAGCCGATAAAGTTGTTGCAAAAATCAGTATTACATCATATGGAATACCTACTTACTGTAGGCCTAAAATATTAGCATTTTTGTTCCAAGATTATGCCTTTATCATGGATTACGAATCAATAAAAAATGTTGATAGGACATAATTTTATTATAGGTAATGTACCAGTCAAAGTAATAGCGTGCTTGAATGACTTGTTTATGGTTCCGTATCAATTTTTTTTGTTGCTACTCGATGGGCACAACTATTTTCTATTTTTCACGGAGTTTCTATCTCATCTGTTATTTATGTGCGGGTTTCATTTATAAGTGTTACAAAGCATTCAAGAGTGGTCGAGATGGTATTCATCACATCTCGATCGTTTTGATGTGTATAATTTGCCTCGATACGGTATGCCATCAACCTTTGCAATTGAAGTTAATATCGCAAAAGTGAAGGGAATGGAGACTGAAAATCCTGGTTCAAGTTTGATATAGATTACTGCCAAACTTTCTGTAACTCACGAGTCGATTCTTACTATTGCAACCAATCATTTGGGTATGAAACATGTCGCCGCCTGGCTAGTCCCAAAAAAAACCTATTCTTAGTAGTATTTTCTCCAAAAACTCAATCGTATGAGAGTCGAATGACCTAATTCCGAATCAACATTCATAAAACACATTGTTATTTGCGACAAGACGTGTTTTTTTTAGTTTGGCATGCTAGCAGGTCAACAAGCTTCGGATTGGCGCCTTTTAACGGAAACAAAACTGAAAAAACCAAACCAAAATCGATCAAAGGTCAACGTCATGTTGACTGTTTTCTTCGACTTTTGTGGTGTTATGCCCTCAGAATTTTCACCTGAAGGTCAAAAAAATATTATTTGAGCATTATGCGGCATCTATGAGAGCTAATTCGACGAAAAAGGTCAGATTTGTTGAAAGAAAATTCTTGGATTTTGCACCACTACAATGTGACTTAGATCAAGACCACCATCGTGAACGAATTTTGACCAAACACACAACAAATACCACCGAGCCACCATTTTCGCCAAATATGACCCCAGAGGACTTTTTTATCTTTTTTCTAGTCCTTCTAATTTACCACTTCTATCTAATACGTATATGTTAAACATCTGTCCTCAAACAAAAGCGCTTTGAATATTTATGAAAAAAAACGATTAGAACGATATCACAGTTATTTTTTTACCTTTTTATTAGTTTTACTCTTTGTGGTCAAAACTTACCATAAACACATCTTTGGGTCTTTGTTTTAGAGAGTACAACAGGATCTGTGATAACGTCACATTGCTTCTCTGCTCAGGGTCAGGTTTGATTCCCTGTTCAAGCAGTATGGCGTCCAGAACAGAGTCGAGGTAGAGCTGAGCCGCATTTGGCTTTCCCCTTACCACCGTGTGAGACATCTGAAACAAATAGAATATACATGTTTAAAAACAACACAACACATAATATATATAGTATATATTTCTCTGTCCCTTAAAACTACGCAATTGATATTGATGAGGTTTTTTAATAGATAGATTGATTGAAGAGGAAGGTTAACATATACAATAACATCCATGAAATAGTAATTAGTAGAAATTGGCAAGTATATTGATTGGAATTTGGTATCAGCATTGCCCCCTTGCGAAGCCGGGGTAGCTCGTTAGTTTACAATATTCAAGTGACTGTATCGCTAGCTAGGTTCATATTTTACAATAGTTGATAATAGTTTGTAATTAATCACAATCTGCAACACGCAAGTGATTCATAGCATTAGAAACACTACATTATCACAAGTAGATACCTATATTTGAATATAAAGATGTCAAAAAATTATTTATGATTAGACACGTGTAATATTTGAACGAATATAAATTACTAGCTTTTGCCCGCGACTCCGTTCGCGTGGAATAGTGACTTGACGTGATAAAAACTATACTATGTCCTTCCGCGACTTCCAAACTATGACTGCCAAATTTTTCGGTAATCGGTTCAGTAGTTTATGCGTGAAGAAAATACAGACCGACAGTTATAATATTAGTATAGATTAGCTCAAAGTAAAGGTAATAGTATACGCTTAACACTTAAAGTTAAATAATTAAACCAGTTCTATTAACACAAGTTGTTATTACTTAAGTTTGGTAAACAACTGAAGATAGACTGATGTGCATAATATAACAATCACGATAGGATAAATAATTATTAAAACTCTAAATAAATGTTATCTTGCTGAAATTATTTTATTTGGTAAAGAAAACAAGTCGTTAAAAGTCGGATTTGAACTGTTAAAGTGATGAACTGTACATACATTGTATGAATGAAGCGCATGAAAAATATGACAATACTAATTGAAGCTACGATGCAGACGAAGACTCGAGTAAACGTCATTGTTAAGGCCATTTATAACATCTATGGTAAATGCGAAAATGCAAATATTTTTTATTTACGGCACGTCAACAACGCTAACAATGACATTAAAATATGGTTAGTGTATATCTCAATAAACTGATTAAATCTATTAATGTGTCATCAATCTATAATTTTTATAGGTATTATAATTATGCAAACGAATTACCTAATGGTAAGCAACAGGCGCCACCTATGGACATTCGTAATACCAAAGGAATTACTACGATAGTGTTGCCGGCCACTTGTAGGTTGTTAGGGATTTACGGATAGAGGATTCGGGGATCGAGGATGTCCCCATCCTCGATCCCCGAATCGAGGGAGGGCCTCCGGCAACTTAACTCATACGGCAAAACACAACGTAAGTATTGCTTCACACCGGTTTTCTGTGAGGCCGTGGTATAACTCCGGTCGAGCTGGCCCATATGAAATAATCAGAATATAATTTCTGACTGTTATTTAGTTGTAGATATCATCAGGATGATCATCATTCTGGTCACGAAGAAACCCTATTTACACAATGTTTCCTAACATACATATTTTTCCTAAATTATAGTTTTGAAAAGATTAAATAAATTTAAAAATAACATCGTTTTCACCTTTTAGTTTTGTTTACATGTATAGTTTCCTAACTAATCTGATAGTGATGTTTGTGTAGTTGTATTTGGAGGGGAAAGATGCCGTCGCAAAAGAGAAAACAAGATTTAAATCTTAGGGTCGTAATGTGGTTCTAATAATTAATATCTACAGACACTCAAAACACTGATCACCAGGTCCCATCATCCAAGGTCACACATAGAAGTGATGCTTACCTTTGTACAGTAACTGCAGACGCGCCTGCGCGCTACCGCCGCGACAGACTGGCGCACGCGCACTCCGTACTCCTTATTTATTGCGATTCAATGTAATCACTATAGTGATGCTCTCCACTGGGTTAATATTCCATTTAACACAATAATTGGTTTATTATCTTAAGACAAAGTTAATTAAATGATAATTTAGTAATAACAGTACGGGGTCATGTACACATTGTGGCGCTTCAAATGTAACTAGTGCTGAGCGCTGTGCAACCGACAAATAACTTCAACGTCACTATAATTTTATTGCCAAAAATATTTGCCAGTCGTATATAAACGTGTAACGTCGAGTATAATCTTTAGAATACCTAATGTGTCAGAGTTTGTAACAAACTGTAGTGACTTCCCGTAGATTATTTTCAATAATTCGTGATGATAAGAATGTTATCGTTGCGCCCGAATTATGCAATCTACACGTGTAGTGCTGTGTTATAATCACGGTGACTGTACATTTTTGAACTTGTTTTTTATAATAATAAAGAAGAAGTTGGCATCGGCATCAATAAATATAACTTAAATTTTATTATAATACATTTGTCCGGCTTGCGTAAAATGTCAGGATTGCGTATGACATCGTTTATTTGATTTATCGCTGAAAAATTCCTAAAAACGCTAATAGATGAAACTCTTGCATTAAAATAAAAAAAAGAAAACCAAGTGGAGTCCTGAATCAAACTTTTCTAAGGCACCAGATTTAACCTGTCTTTTATTAATCTCTTGTAAGACAGATCTCACGTTGGGAAATTCAAGTACCTACAGTAAGTTTATTATATGGAGATTTCCATTATGCGGTTCTTGACGCACGTCAATAGATTGTATGAAATAGAATGTTGTGTGTAGATAACATCAATCTGATGTAAGAACAGTGATCTGTATCATTGTATAATTTCTTTTAAAATACTAGTCCTGTATTATAATAGGCAGTCTATGTATATACGTGTGTGTGTGTGTGTGTGTGTCACGTCTGTTCCCATTGTTGCATTGTTACAAAAGTGCATGTTGTAGAAACATCATCAGCTTCAGTGCACATAATCTCATATCTCTTGAAAAGATATTTCAAAACAGTTGTATAGAAAATGTTCATTTCTCGTTCGGAGGTTAAATATTTTTACAGCTTGTGTTTACAAAGAGTTTGCTGCAGAAATATTGCGCATTGTATTTTTGGGACGACAAGCAACGAACAGAAAGCTTTGGCCGTGTTTAAAGCTAAATTAAGGTCTCTTCCAAACTGACAACGAGGACGGAAGAACTAGGGCGCGGCGGCTGAAGCTGGGCCTCTATAAATACTCTTACACCGCAGTGTTTGCAGTGCCTGCCTTCTGTTGGGGCCGGGGACTTTTACTCATAGACCTTATGATAATAATCATAAGGTTCGCTGTGGCCTACATTCACATTACACGTTACTATAAACTAAAAGATGAGTCACATACTGACATTATCTCTGTCTTTATCATTCCTCAAATGTACGTTGAATAAAGCTATGTGGATGCAGTACAAGGTTTTCCTATACAATATCGATATTAATGCTTCGAGCTACTTACAAGTACAGCATCAGAAGATTAGCCATCCCACGATATTGATATTAGCTGCATACAGAGTACAGACAGGTAGAGAAGTGCCACTACAGATTTAGGATACAGGCGACGACAGTGCCGTAGACTGGCTCAATGGATCCAGTTTGACGAATAATTCCCAGTGAAGAGTTAAGTCGGGTACAGTGTAGAGCGACGTATGCAGCTACCTGAGGGCTCTCTATATACGAGTATGTTGGATCTTGAACTACAAAAGAAATAGATGGAATAGATTGGTTAATATTAGGTTTGTGTCTCCAAGTAATATCTACTTCTTATCACACTCCACTCGAATATGTACTTAAGTACCTAAATAAAGAACACTTTTCACTTCACTTAAAAGTATTTCACAAAATAATTAGTTGAGTAGCTATAGGAGCTATAGTAAGGTTCTGCCGCTGCCTGGTGAATAATTAAGTTACACAGATTGCTTATGAAAAAAAAAACATTTTTTTTTATTTTAGTAGTATTACTGCTACTTATAAATCAGTTATAAGGCATGTTTCTATGTAAAATGTTTTTAACTGAATTGATGATTACATGTTTCTTTCATCTGGTCGTTATTGAAAAAATACTAATGACTAAGCCAAGTCATTTGAATTTTTTCGCACTCATATGAATAGTTTCGAGGCACTCTGGAATCCACAAAAATAATCTCGCATTGGCTTGTCAATCGCAATCGAAAATTACATCGAAATAGCTGATCTCACATTTTATTTTACCATAGAAATATTTTTAAACTTTTAGTCTGCTAAAAGAAAACTTATTGGAAGTGTATAAAGATGTATGCACGTGGAAAAAACGGTAGGGGCGGTGTATACCATTAAATAAAATTATTAAAATGATTATTAAATAGCAAGGGCTTGTGATGTTTTGTGTGTATTTTTTATGCAACTTTAAAAAGGTAAACAAATATCGACAAATAGGAATTGATGCGGACACCCAATACCACTTAAAAGTTTAAAAAGATAGGTATTAGCCGATTGTCTATGACTTACTAAAATTATAAGCATAAGTCGAGCCGTTTTAGAAGAGTATGAAAACGAACATTATGACAGGAGAATTTTATATATAAGTATTGTTGATCATTGTTTATATGTCTATGTATAATTATAAATCTTATACAAATATTTGAAATGGGACTTCTGTTACAGTAAGTAGATGTGGTGGCGAGTGTAGCGTCGGTCCCGGGCGCCGGCCTGCAGGTCCCGGGGCGCGGCCGGCCGCGGGCCCGACACGGCGCTGCGTTAAGAGATTACTTGTTATTGCTGCACTCCTGGCATTCATTAAACGCTCCACTACTCACACGTTACTGTATTCAGTATAATTACATCCTCTTCACAATATTTGCTAAAAAAATTTAGATTTATTTAATCTCACACAGCGTCTTGCATATATGGATAAGTAACAGTATAGACATTTAGACAGACATTTATCAAATGACTAGCTTTTGCACTCTCCGTTCGCGTGGTATAGCGACTTCCTGCAGAGTTTTGGTATAAAATCTATTCTATATCCTTTCTCGAGTTCCAAACTGTCTGTACCAAAGGACATGGCCAACTTTTGTATGGGCGTTTGCATAGTTATTGAATTCAATGTACATCAATGATTTTTGGTGTTTACATTCGTGAATATTATTAAATTAAATTGCAAAAAATAAAACACATGAAGAACTCGTAATTATAACAAACAAGACGAAAATAGTTTCACTAAACCTTTAGTCAGATTACTGGCCATAAGTGCACGAAATAAGATTTTGCTTTTAAAAACCATGGCGTTTTAATTATTTATTTATTTATAAAATAAAACAAAATAATATGTATAAAGAATAATGATTTATTTATTAAGGAAAATAAATAAAATAAAACTACGTAATAATTCAGTTTTATATTTTTATTTTAAAGTGTATTTTATTATGTTTGTGTATGGAATGTACGTTTCTTTAATATATGTTCTGTACAATTGGGTAATAATATGGTAGTACTTTCCATTTGAAGCGGCCTGCTTAAAACAGGTGGTAATGGTGGTGGCTCTGGTGGGCTAACCACTTAAATATAAGGGGCTGCTGCATTGTTGTCCGAACCCAATTCCTACAAGTTTCGTGATAAGTCCTGCACTGTCTGTCTATTTGCCCGCATACAGCACACATGACAAACATAGTTGCTTCTTGAGGTCTGAAAATAAACCCCAGTTAGAATAAACACATGTTATCAAGTTTTATGTTATTGTACAGTGAGAAGTATTATGTTACAACATGCCTATTTTAAAGAAGTCTATGCAAACATGGAAAATACATAAAGATAGATATTATAATCACACATACCTACTATGAGTACTTTTTTTTATAGATTAATATAGATAAATACAAGTACATATATAAAACAATGAATAAAAAACAAAATGCTTACCACATTAATAGTATTTTGCGATATTAGGCCAGCTAGCAATGGAGAGTCCATACTGACATTATGATGTCTTATTTTTCGAACCGATTTTCCACAACCAAGGCAAGCCATGTTATGCCCCAGTAGTCTCTCATGTTCACTAGCCTCAGTATTCAATAATAAGAGGCGTGGTTGACAAATGAATGTCCCCAGAGGCAACTAAAAAAAAGATGCACTATTTAAAATCGCATACCATGATAAAACATAAAAAAACAGACTAAGTATTATATATTCCGACTTCATACTTGGGTTTGAGCTGGTTAACCAACGTGAAAGTTTTGTTTGATGGTGTGCAGAAAGTGAGGATATAAGACGCCTCTGCAGCCTTTGTACGCCTATTCCGCAGTTGATGCACCTCATCGTAATCCACAAAACAAATCCAAAACGCAAAACAGTTACTCCAGTATTATTAGCAAGGTTAACAAAAACACGCTGTCAAAAGTGCCAAACACGTTCCGTTTCGTTTAAGTTTTTTTTTTGGTGAATTGGATAAAAATAAAACATAACATTATTATGAGTATATTTTAAAATGCAACTAAAACCAATGAATACAGTTTCGTATGAATAAAATGTTCCTAGTGTAATGCATTTGTCGATCATATCACACGTTTTCTACGAGTGTAGTTTAAGACACGTGGTTTGGAATTGGAACGTCTTTTTATTTATCATTCTCTATGGACTATTATGGCGAAACTTGACAAACGAACTTGATTTTGTTGCATTACTTTTACATGTTTTTAATAATAATTGTCAGGTCTGGAGAGGCTAAAAACTACGTAATAATTCATATTTCTATTTGTATTTTACAGTGTATTAATTTTGTTCGTGTACGTGGAATGTACTTTTTTGGCCATGTCCTTTCCTAAAAATCGGTTCAGTAGTTTAGGCGTGAAGAAAAGATAAAAGAAAGAGAGACAGACAGAGTTACTTTCGCATTTATAATACTAGTAGTCCGGTGAAACGGACGAAGCCGCTGGCAGAAGCTAGTTTTAAATATAAGTATTTGCGATGACGGAGTTGAGTGATGTATTATTAGTATCATGTTGTCTGTAAGATACTTGTGTGCATTTATATGAACTATTATTATAAATAACGTTACATAAATAAGACGATATCAACTAAATATCGCCATTTTCGGTCGTCATCAAAGAAATAGTACTTATTTTAACCTTTTTGCTCGCAGTCATGTCATCAATAATTTTAATACTTTTATAGTTATCTACTTAAAGAGTATTTTTGCAAAATATTAAATATTATCATAATCATTATTGATTCTTTGTTAGCAGGAAGCGCAAATTACTATATTATGCTCATTTTGCAATAGACAGAATAAATATATTGAATTAATTAAAATAACTATTGAAAGTTAATGTATTGTTAATAAGATAAGCGCTGTAGTTGATTACATAAATGTTGGAATAAACAATACAATAATAATACGATGCATAGATAATAAGATACACCCTGTAATATTTACAGGGTGTTATCAAAGGGAATTCCTTTTCCATAGCTTTGAGCATGTTTGTTTGATTGACGTACCGTCGGAGGCGGCCGGGGAGGGGGAGGGGAGAGGGCGACCAACGGAAATATCTATTTCTAAATTCTCTTACGTCTTAACAACTGAGTAAAGCCGTTTTAAATATGTATGTAAAGCCTACCAACATTTTAGTATACAATCATATTTGTCTTATAAATATTTGAAATATAGAATACCAACACCTGGTTTCTGAAAGGCTTGTCAACGCTAAAATTAACTAATCTCCTGTTATATCTCTTGTCAAGTCATCTGATTGGTTGTTGATAATTCAGTCAACCAATCAGATGACTTGACAAGAGATTAAATTGATTTTAATATTGATCGGCCTTTCGGAAACCGGGGGTAAATCATACAGAATTCACAAACATATTATTAGCATGGGCATATTATAAAGAGAGCAATGGAATTGTACGTAAATGTCTGAATAATGTGGTCCCGAGAGCTCTCCAGTACTGGATAGTCAAGCACCGGCTAATGAGTGCTCCAACGACAACACAAAGGGGCAAACCACGACAATGCGCGGAAATAGCCGACAATACACGATCGTGCACTTTTCTAGGTAATGGCGCGTACGTACGGCCGCTGCGGTGTGTGGACGGAGGTCGAGGCGTTTTCTTGTATACTCCGACGTTAAGCACCGCGTGCACGTACTATTCTGGCGACCTTTATCAGCTCTGTATCAAGTTCGGATGTCCTCCACTTTATCTGCTACTCCGACTATTACTCCAAACACCAATAAAAGTGATATTTTCCTGAAATACTTTAAGTAGTTGTTCTCTTGATGTTTTATGCATTCATACTGAGCGTCCACATTTGGAAGTCAAGTTTAATCAAAGTTAGTTCGTTTATTTCTCAGCAGTCGGATCAAGTTTGATCTAGGTTTTAGAGCTTACAATATTCACTGCTGAACGCGTACTATGGAGATAAAGTTGATCTACACTAACTCCTTTGGAACTAGGAATCCTGTGAAATGTTAGAAGAAGATACTTTGTTTTTGTTCCAGATTTTGGTTTTATTATAGTATTAAAGTTAATACCTACATTATTAGTTCAGAAAAGACAAAGTCAAAGGTAAAAGTAAAAACAAGCTCATGAAACCGACAAAATACTGAAAAATTACTACTGTTAGTAAAAATAGATTTTATTTTCTATGTCAGTAGGTTTATTGAGCTTTATTGGTAATTTCATTCTGGTACAAACTTTGTATTATTATTAAAATACACATGTACCCACAACTTTATTACCATAAGTTACTGTTATTAATCAAAAATATTTAGTCTACTATAGTAGTGGATGTCAGAAGCCGCGCTACGCCGGAAGATATCAACTTGTACATAAGTTCTCAGAACAAGAAGTTAAAAACCCGCAAAGTTGAGTTCACTGTTACACGAGTACACTGTAATAAAGTCGACGAACTCCACAACTTAGTAATTTCTTTGATGAACTTATTAATGAGAGATTTTCCGTATCACTGTCGGAGTAACACGGCGCTCTGTGTTGTTAGTGAGGTTTACTATGCTGTGATACAAATGGATGTAGATTATCCGCTTTATTTATTAACTTTACAATGTATTTATTATATTACCTCTAAGATTTATATTTTGTGCACGTATGCATCTTACATTTGTATCTTGCATAAGGGATAACTGATGATGCAACTTGTGGTATCCGAGGATGTGTTACTTATAGAATAATTGGAACGCAATTAATAGTTGATACTATTGAATACTCCGACCATGCTTGTGCAACATTTCTTTTGGTTCGGCATATGAAAGCAATTTACAACTACTATACCAACTACAATCGGCTCGCTTATGTTTGATTAGTTTTTTTTTAAATTGAATTATTGTTTTCTCAAAAGACCATACCTATTTTATCTCGCTTTATTGTTTAGTTGCTGCAGCTCACGCGATTTGACACGTTTGCTGCTGCAACCCAAGATGTCGCATATTAAAACTTTAATCTCTTTGCTAAAGAGAAAATATATATTAGATAGATATAAATATAAACGTTACCTCTGAGAATTAAGGAGGGTCTTCTGGGGACTTACTAGGAATTTAAATATTGGGGATGAGAGGGGAGGAGGGGTTGCGAGAATGACTTACGGTAACTCATTGCCATGGCCAAACAAAACGCTGTATGAAGTGGAGGTATCCCTCTGGTCAAGCCGGCACATTCGTGCCGGAGCATAGCTTGCCACAAACATAAATTTATTTTATGTGTTAAAACTAGTTTATATATTTCTAGTATCTTACATGTAAGATCGGTCTCATTGTAATCAAAGTCATGTGTCATCACATCAACTATCCCCTCGTGTACGTGTGTCGAACAGCACTTGAGTGCGATCAGTTTTTGATCCGAGTATTAAAGCGATTCTGTTTATCTAGAGCTCCATCTTTTCGGATTATTGTTATCATTTGATAAGCTCGTCAGTGTCCCAGAGGGAGGCTGGGTGTCTACTCTTGCGTCTACAGAGGTGTAGAAATTAAATGTTATGATATTTTATTTTATTCTTAAGACGTGAAAGCAAAATGGTCCTGTAGTACAAATATCCAATTTAGGTCACAGAGATAATCTTTTTTCCTCTTACTCATATACTGCAGAACATAACAGCAATCTTCCAAAAAAATATAGCAGTTCTAAGGACATTAACATATTACTTAGTTTTCCTCCTACCTGTAAGGGAAATTAATTAAGCACGTTGGGATCACGTCTCAAATGTAGCACCCTTTACGATACGGTACGGTACCGACACGTGACGTGACGGCCGACCTCCGACCTAATCAACAATGACGATGAATATTATTTGCAAGCTGCAACTATCTGAAAACAAATTAAATAACATATTAAGTAGGGCTAATTTTGTAATACTAACCAGTTACATTTAACTCCCGGCTCTATATTTTTAGTGAGAATTTGCAAAAAACTTAAATTTCCTAAGTTATACTTAGCCCAGCTGTTGAATTGGAGGTTAGGGCTCTTGTTCGGCCAAAGGTTCCGAATTATAAGTCTCTTCACGGCCTCCTTGGAGGCGAGAGGGTGTCAGACTCTTATTGACTAAAACCACCCCGTCCTTCCTTCTGCTCCGGATCGGATTATTGCGCTATCAACAAGTACATGGAACACACGTCGTGAACTACATTTGCATAATTTGATAGCTTATACATTATATCACTCGCCGAGGTGACATAGTAATATAACTATCAAATAATATGTTATCATAGCATGTGTCCTCTATTTGCGCCTAGCGCTGATAACTTTACCTCATGAACACATCAAAAACACGAACACGTCTCGAGATAAATTGCACGGAATACTTTTCAAGGTGAGGGGAAATTCCGTTGAATAGAATTGTTTTATTTTGCCAGCAGTTATCGAGGTGGAAATTGAAGCATGTACCTATTGCTCGAACAGTAGATTTAACATTATTATCAACCAGTTTGCGCCGACACCCGTGATAATCGAAAGTCAAGAACATAATTGTGTTACAATCTGAGCACACAATTTTATCCGTTTTCAATAAAAAAGCTATCCTTAGTGTCAACATTAAATATTTAACGTTAATATTATCGAACGGCAATACGGTAGCTATATTAATA